CACAATGTTAAAGAGAAGTGTCCATTCCCAAATCAGCCGGTAAGAATTTCATTTTTGCCATGAAAATTGGACAAAAGTTGATGGTTGGGACAATGTGAAACTCAAACTAACAGTTTAAAGTGCAAATTGAGAACGTGAATAGTTTAGGTGACGCCGTCAAACGAGGGGTATAATTCAAAGGTGTGTAATTGTAAGTTTCCTCAGAAAGATTACCCCAGCTTCAATGCTTTTGCTGGTGCTTCAAAATTTTCAGGTTCCGGTTGGCGTAGCTGTAGATTGATTGGCCCATGCAAGTTAAGTTCACATGAAACTTGAGAATTTCTGTTTGTTTGATTAACTCTTCCTTCTTCATAAACCTGTGATTCCAAAACTTTTTCTTAATTAGATTAAGATAAGGAAACAACTTTGATCACCTTACATTGTTCAAAGGAGTGATGAACATGTGTAACATAATTTGCTGTTAGATTCAGATTGTCATATGATCCAATACCCTTTTCTGCAATTCTATGTTCTCTTGACTGATGAGTTCTATCTTCTTATACAGTTCTATGTTTTCTTGATGAACGAGGAAACCCTGTGACAAAATTGATGAAAATCAGCATCAAAGGCAAACATATATTTTTGGTGCTCAAAAATATGCGGTTTGTGTCATTTTTGATTCTCAATTTTTTAATATCATGTCAATTTGAACCATCAAGTCCCTAATTTGTGTCACTTTGATCCAATTTACAACTGCATTTTAAATTAGCTAACAGAGATGGTCATGTGTATCTCGCGTGATCACACTTGAGGATTTTTTTTTGAAAATCTTATGGACTAAAAAATAACACAAATTGTAAACTTGAGGTACCAATGTGACCTTTCAAGTGTGGGTGGTCACGTGAGACTCACGTGCACAACGCTGTTGGTTAACTTAACCATCTTGTTTTATTAGACCAAAAAAGACCCACATTGAAAACCCAATGGACTAACATGACATTAATGTTCCGTTTCGTAGGAATGATGAAAAGTAAGAATGATACATTTTCTATTTTTCAAAGAAAGAAAGTAGGAGTGATACACTTTCATTCCTTTGTATTTGGTAAGATGAATGAAAAATAAAACTGATTAATTTTTTTTTATACTGGCTAAGATTAAGGGTGACAATCGAACCGTATCGTGTTGAGTTATTACGAATTTGTGTCAAATATTAGTCAAACCTAATTCAACTCATTTAACTAATTGTGTCGTGTCGAGTTGACATATTTATTTTCGTGCCGTGTTCGTGTCCGTATTCGTATTAACCCATATAAACTTTGAATAAAAAATTTAACGTTAATATTCTATTTTCACTTAATTGAATCTATGTTTAATTTTTTGTATAAACTAAAAATTAACTTAAATAAATATAATAATAATAAGTAATTTTTTTTATATAATAATTATGTATGTGCTTAATAAATAGTTACAAATAATTAACATTTTATGTCTATAACACTTGTTAGATATGTTAGTTTCGTGTTAATTTCGTGTTACCATACAAACGAGAAAATAGAGAAAATATTTATTTTTAAATATACAGGTTAATGGTGTCAATTTTGAATTTGACGGGTTGAGTAGAATATGAGCCGTTTATATTTCTTATTTGCATGACAAATCAATTTCAAGTTCGTGTTTAGTTCGAGTTGTGTTATCATGTTGAGTCGAAATTTTTCACCCATAGTTAAAATGAAAAAAAAAATATTTTTTTTAATTTAAAATTTTTATTTTTAAAAAATATATATAAATATATATTTTGTCATTTAATTTTTATTTGAAATTAATGTATACATAATATATGTATATATCAAAAAATATATAGACAAATAAGATATATCTCAAGACAAATAATTAACTTTCTATCCATTTTTCTTTCAATTTTGGAGGGATTGATTTTGATGAATCGGAAGAAAAATTAATCCATCCACTTTTCCATCATTCATAATTTCCTTTCTTATCAAACATAATATTTTATTTATTTCTCTAACTTTTTATACTTCAAACTTTTTATCCTTATATTTTTCCATCATACCAAACGGAACATAACGTAACAAAGTCTTCGGTGAAGTTACTGGTATTACAGTGTCCCCTTTAGTTAAAAACCAAGAAAAAAAAAGTGGGTGTTTTTAGGATAACCTTTTGGTTTAGTTCTTTGATTTCATCGGTTAAAATTTGCTCCTGCAATAAGCAATATTAGGATCATTCATACAGTTGATGGGGTAGAACTTGTAAATAGTACTACGTGATAAGAATTATTCTGGGGATGAAGTGTATTTACCTTTTTTATTTGGACTCCTTTCAGACTCATTTTCAACTGATTTTCCAGATTTTGAAGTTCTTCCATGCTCAAGCCAGAAAGTTTTTCTCCCAACAACTTCCTGCAATGATTAGAGTGAAAATTTTAGGGTATGTAATCCTAGATGAAGTGTACTTTTGGAAGCATGGGCTGAGCACCCTGAATGAATAAGAAATTGACATTAAAGGGAATCAATTGATTCTTATTCAGGAAGCCTCCTCTCGGGTTCAAAACTGTTAACCTATGGATTGAGTGATCACACTCGTACATATAACTCATGAATAGATGCAATGTTTGACGGTTATTTTTCCATGCATGAGGGGAGAGATAGAAAGAGATAAAGAATGCTGGTTTGAATTTGAACTAATATAACTCTTTGAAGAGTCATGAATTGTGATTGTGTTATCGGTGACAACCTTACCAGAAGGATGTGTACATCCACTTGAATGGGCGTCTTGGTATGTGTCTAAATACTAGTATATGATGACCTTACATATAATATCAAATTCTTACTTAACAACACTATGTCAATTTCTCTCGATTGTTGCATCATTTGAATTTCTCTAGTTCGGTATCACATGTGATTATGAGTCTAATGACGAGCACTGTCAACACTGTTTCACCCTAGGACCAACAAAAGCTAGCTAGACATCTTCTTCAATCTCGTTAACCAATTGACTTTCATGACTCACCTTCTCATTACCACGCTATCTTACCTTTGCCTTCCACTTCACCTTTTGGTCTAGATATAAGGATCTTCTTTTTCATATACTTTGGCGTTAGATTGAACAGTTAAATGCTCTTAATATTTGACATCTAGTTGGCTTATGCTGCTAAGTTGGTGCATTTTCTAAGTGACTTTTCTTTTCTCATGACGCTGCCTAGATAATGTTTGCTGGTTCGATTCTCTCTACAATTGTCTTGCGGAGAGAAAAATGGCCATGTTGTGTGGACATACTGTATTCATGTGTCTAGCATGAGGTTAAGTAAGGCTCTAACAAAAAAGAAAATCAATTACACGAGTCTCTCCCCACTGTAGTATCTAAGTTTAAATAATACATTGCGTTTTGAAGTTCCTCACACTTAGAGTGTGTCTTATCTATATGAAAATCAAATTGTGGAGGAAAAGACTTTGAACGCTTTCTCTCTGCATTATGTCAACTTTTATTTTTTAAATTATCTCTCTATAATTTCTCAGGAGCCTCTTTCTAACTTTCCAAGTGGTGGGGATGGGGATGGGCATGCATGGAAGAGGGGATCGTGCAAGGCCACCGTCAGTGTTAATGAAGTATGTGTGCAAGTAGAAGATGTGCCAAACACAAACAACGTTTTTTTAATAAGGATGTCTCTATATATAAAAAATTAGTGGAGCATTATTTATTGGATCATAAATTTTTGTATCTAGTGAGGTACTTTTAGGACAAGTGACAATAAGATTCATCATCATCATGCAACCACACAACTAACCTATGGCTTTCTTGCAGGTATTGTAGCTGCTGCCTCAAGCTTTCTGCTTCCCTTTGCCAAATCTAGCATGTATATATGTATAGAAGTAAAATATAAGACTAAAGCAATTTCAAAAATGCAAGACTTACATATCTAACAGGTGTCAAATTTGTATATTTGTTTGTGGCATTTGAAGTTTACATATGATCGATTCTTGAAGGGGACGATAAAATTCAAATTTGTGACTTTAAGTTCTACAGCGATAACCTGTAACTATGGTCAAACCTTAGTGAACAGTGAAAGAAAGGAGTCAAACAACCTGGGAAAATGAAGATTGCTTTATCAACATTTCTGTCCCTCATCAGCTAAGATTGCAAACAGTTGTTCTAACCTTATGAACAGTTCAAGACTTCTCATTAACTCATCCTTATATGCAGGCTGATTTGATAGAAATTAGGGCTAAAGGAGAAAGTTTTAAACGGGAACTTTGAAAACTTGATACAATTTTTTTTTTTTCATTTTTAAGATACAAAATTATTAATTAAACAAGAGAGGGAGAGAGACTTAGATATGTAACCGGCAATACAAACTTTCTTCGTCTCCCAAATCACCTAACAATCCTAACCTTCACAATCCAATACAACTCGATGTAGTTTAAATCAAATCAACAGACAATAAAAATAATATATAATAAAAATGAAACTGAAATTTTTTACATGTTAGTGTCAGTAGGATTAATTTTCTATCTTTGATGAATAACTTTGTTAAATTCCAAAAGTACATATGATTCATTCTCTCTCTCTCTATCCTCCTCCTCCTCCCCCCCCCCCCCCCCCCCCCCCCCCCCCCCC